ACATACATACATACATACATACATACATACATACATACATACATACATACATACATACATACATACATACATACATACATACATACATACATACATACATACATACATACATACATACATACATACATACATACATACATACATACATACATACATACATACACACATACATACATACATACATACACATACATGGAAAGGTTAAGTGATGCCACTCCGAAACGGGGAAAATGTGAAAGGGACAGGGAGCATGAGTCACATGGGGGAGAGATTTAGGGTTTGAAGTCCCCACGTACCAACATGAACATGTCTTTAAAGACCTTTGTGGGCCTCTCCCACTCGGATGGTACGTAGTTTTCCTAGTCGGCAAAAGGATTTTATGTTTTCGGCCCACCCTTACAACAACAACAACAACAACAACAATGTCCACTTCACTTCAACGTTGGCCTGTCTTTCATTTCCCCGTTCATCAAATCTAGGACAAAAAAAAAAATACATTTTTAATAGAATCTCCTGTAGTTTTTTATATTCTCTTATACAATTATATCGTTTTAGATCATGACTCTATAATACATTGATAATCACCGTTAATAATGAATCAACAATATTGTTTACTAGTAGAGATTACAAACTTGCAGTAGTTGTATGGAACATATATTTTTGTATTATATTTAGGGGTGGATGTTTAGGTATTCGGTTTAGTAATGATTCGGTTCAATTCTTTCACTTCTACAAAAACAGGTATCAATCGGTTATTATATTATATTCGGTCCGGCTCGGGTTCAATTCTGGTTCGGTTGGTTTTCGATTTTTATTAAAAAACATTAGATCTTAAAAAAATTTGGTTTTTAGGGATATTTTAAAATTCGGTTCCATATTCGTTTTTCTAAAATTAATACCGTTCGGATCGAGAAAAATACCATATTTTTAAGTTTGGTACGGTTCGATTCCAAGAAGCGAAGCGAAACACCCACCGCTACTTACATTTAGCATAAATCAAAACGATTATTACGAAAAATATATATAATCTAACATTTCATTATTTCATCAGAAAAAAAAAAAGACAGAAAAGGGATGAAACCCGGATTGATGGATAGTAGGGTACGGGCCGGATATCAGATCTCGACCTCGTCCTCCTCGGACTTCTCAGTTGGATTACCCGATATCGGTTTCGAAAGGGTCAGAAACCCGAACTTCGGGTACCTGTAGGGTGCAGCAGGAGTCGGGTATCGCAGGGTGCGGGTACCTGCTGGATGCCCAACCGACCAGGACAAGTGCGAGACCAAGACGAAGACCAAGAATAATGGATTGAAGTGAAGTGAAATCGTAACCACAGGGGTTTACATGTGACCCGGTGTGAGCCGACGAATGCAAAATCATTTTCGTGACTTTCCGTCACACTCAACATAAATTTATTAAATCATATACAGATCTTAGGTTATTTTTTTGACGTAGTAAATTAATTAAGATATTGCTTTTTGAAATTAGATAAATACTCTATATATTAATTTCTTGTGATATTCATCATAATATATAAATTTAATACATAAAAAAAAACAAGATTAAATTCCGTAAATACACAGCTATTATACTACCCTTGTGTTCTGCAATTTCATGTTAAATTGCAAAATTTCTATTTAGATATGTAATAATAGTGTGGAGTCAAATTCGAGTGATAGATATGTAATAAAAATCGCACATTATTTTAGCCATTAAACATCTTTTTCAAAGCTGTTAAATTTAAAAAAAGGGCATGAAGCAATATTGATCATGGTCTTCATCATTAATCCATATCCTTGGCCTTAATCCCCCGGATTCTTCAAGAATTTTCCTTCGCAGTTCTTGTCAGAGTCTTTCAGACAAGGTGCCATGAACAAAGATTGGAGCGCACAGGAAATTATGCATATATTGCTTTCTATATTGAGGATTTGATTATGGCTACAGATTCGAGTTTCATTTCAAGAAATGGGGAGCAAAATGATTTGAGATGTATCATGAAGCAAAAGTATATTGTTGATGGAAATGAAGGTCCAAAATTATAAAATGTCATCGTCAAGTGTTTACCCTAATAATAGAGAGAGAGAGATGCATGCACATTGCACACCCACCTCCATATTTCACATGAAAAGGCATATGTTTGCTTTGTTTTGGTCAGACAACTTCTTCATTGGCCATTAGAGGACCTCCACCTCTATTCCATTTTCATCCCTCTTTTATATATTTATATATAGAAGCGGGTCCACAACATATTTTCAACGAAATCGATATATAATATAGAGAGATATGTAGGGCCAACTAAGATGTTTGTTATCAATTTTTAAAATTCTTTTTTAAAATATGTTGGGGGTACACGACCTCGTGAACATACCCTACATCCATATATATTTTGTTAGGGTTTGAGAAAATTGTAGAAAAAATATTATTGAAAGTTTATATTATATCAAAGATGATACATGTGTTAATATATAAGTATCATTACATTGTTACCATTATTTCCATGGCCCGTATTCAGATACATGGCCCGTATTATTAATTCACCCCGATCATTACATTGTTCCATTATTTCCATTACATAACATACATACATACATACATACATACATACATACATACATACATACATACATACATACATACATACATACATACATACATACATACATACATACATACATACATACATACATACATACATACATACATACATACATACATACATACATACATACATACACACATACATACATACATACATACACATACATGGAAAGGTTAAGTGATGCCACTCCGAAACGGGGAAAATGTGAAAGGGACAGGGAGCATGAGTCACATGGGGGAGAGATTTAGGGTTTGAAGTCCCCACGTACCAACATGAACATGTCTTTAAAGACCTTTGTGGGCCTCTCCCACTCGGATGGTACGTAGTTTTCCTAGTCGGCAAAAGGATTTTATGTTTTCGGCCCACCCTTACAACAACAACAACAACAACAACAATGTCCACTTCACTTCAACGTTGGCCTGTCTTTCATTTCCCCGTTCATCAAATCTAGGACAAAAAAAAAAATACATTTTTAATAGAATCTCCTGTAGTTTTTTATATTCTCTTATACAATTATATCGTTTTAGATCATGACTCTATAATACATTGATAATCACCGTTAATAATGAATCAACAATATTGTTTACTAGTAGAGATTACAAACTTGCAGTAGTTGTATGGAACATATATTTTTGTATTATATTTAGGGGTGGATGTTTAGGTATTCGGTTTAGTAATGATTCGGTTCAATTCTTTCACTTCTACAAAAACAGGTATCAATCGGTTATTATATTATATTCGGTCCGGCTCGGGTTCAATTCTGGTTCGGTTGGTTTTCGATTTTTATTAAAAAACATTAGATCTTAAAAAAATTTGGTTTTTAGGGATATTTTAAAATTCGGTTCCATATTCGTTTTTCTAAAATTAATACCGTTCGGATCGAGAAAAATACCATATTTTTAAGTTTGGTACGGTTCGATTCCAAGAAGCGAAGCGAAACACCCACCGCTACTTACATTTAGCATAAATCAAAACGATTATTACGAAAAATATATATAATCTAACATTTCATTATTTCATATATTTTTTTATAATTAGATATGTTGAATCGAAATCTAGACTAATTTGCGAGATCGAGAAAACCTATATGAATACCCTACTCAAATTTAAGAATTCGAATTCGAAAGGGAAGAAACGTTAATCACCCTAATTTTATCGGTTTAACCCTCCAATCATTGGATCTTGCACTTGGGTTTTGGAGGATAATCCTAAAAATATGTGGCCCCGGGTGAAATTAATCAAAAGCTAAAACAGTGGATTCCTACGTGAGAATTAGGTACCTACCTTTGATATTCGATAACTAGCTTTCCAAAAAAATATATTTTAGATTTGGCATATATATATATATATATATATATATATATTCCAAAAAAAAAATACATTATATGCACGATCAATCTAGGGTAACAATTAAGGCAAAGATCATCGACTTGATTGATCACTTGCTATAACGTATGATATTTGTCTTTCCCTTTCCTTTTTGTGGGTGACGAATTTGCTTTGAAGAAGTTCTTTTTTCAGTAGTAAAATTATTCCGTTTTGAATATTTCATCTAAATCGGATATCCGAAAATTTTGAATTTGAATTTATAAATCGAAATTATAATTAAACCTAATTTAATCTTGTATTCCACGATGTTGGAGTCTATAATATCAAAATATTATTTATATTTATTGAAAAATATTAAAATATCCATATTTTTACGAAATTAAAAAATTGGGAATGATATTTATTAAACTTTATAAAATAAGCCTTGATTTTTTTTCAATATAATATTATGATATCCAAAATACGCATATAAAAATGGGATTTCTAATATTGGTATAAAAATTTTAGATACTGATTCAAATATTCGATGACTTTTTATATGCCATATGTGTCCGATCTAGAATATTTTTTTTTTAACTCCACTTCTTTGTAGTTTCTATATCCACTTTAATACTATAACTTTTATAAAATATTCTATAAAAAAAATCGCATTGTTTAATCTAATCAGAATAAAGACTAACCAACTTTTATAAATCACCGTGTGTGCAAAATATAAAATCCAAAGATTTCAACAAACAATCAACACGGGCACATTTGTGAGCGGTGAAAAGGATAATTTTTGTGAATTTTCATGATATTCCGATCATATCGTAGAGTGAAAGTAAATACGAGCACAGTGACCATAGTTTAAATAAAATAAAATAAAATAACAACTTGGACATAATTAGGAAACATGGACCCCAGAGTGAGAAACCATAATCCATGTAACGTGGCGCTGTCGTGGGTATTAAATTACTTTTCTTTTACAAGAATGATTTATCCAAAGTATTCCATTGAAACTCTCAACCTTTGCTCGTTTTATTTAATATATATATATATATATATATTATAGATTATGGAAAAAGATTAAAGATAAGTCAGTTCGTCCTTTGTATCCTAAACAATGCAGCTTAATCTTGTACAGAATAGTATTTGTTCGTGGGAAAAAAAAGTTTATATATATATATATATATTATTTTATTTTTTGTTATATTAAAAATTTTGTTATTTAAATCCATTCAAAAGTCAATGATAATAGTCATTAGACACAAATCGTATAAATGATTTTTGAAGTTTCAGGAAGCTTGATATATATGTATTCTTTTTTCAGACAAGTGATTTGATTCCTTTAATGCGTATTTGCATTCTCTTGAGAATTTTTATTTTTGGTAATATATGTAAAGGGTAGTGAAATTGTATAATTGTATATACATGAAATATTAGGTTTTGGGCCACTAGCTAGAAGCTACAATAACATAATTTCAAATAGAATAACATATACACACACATATATATATGTATATGTATAGTCTTCAAATAATTATGTCAGGTTTACATCAATATCAATTGTTTTAATGAAATGGTTTTACATTAAATTCTTATGCCAAGATAAAACAAAACGTTATATATTTATATCGATTAGGTCTCAAACTTTCAAATGAAACTCATTAGTTGCATTTTGACCAAAAAGTTTTTTTTTCAAATGCACACACATATGATTATTTAGTGTTTGAAAACGTTTGACACGATGTTTGTAACTTTCTTTCGTATACAATTTTTTATAAAAAAAAAATACGAATTGAACCTATAAATTATACGACATGATCAGTCACTCCGATGATATTATATATATTTAAGCCCTCGCATTTTAAATTTGATCGCATTTATCACCCATTATTATATATTTATGCTACTTACTTGTTTATAAATAAGAATCCCATATTATATAAATATATATTTATTTTTGAAAAAGGATAAAAACGAAGAATCAATGTAAAGTATTATATACTACAGAGCTTCCTTTAATATTTGCTTAAGATTGCGGAGGTTCCCACGGCTCTCTTTTGCTTCGAAGAACTTGCCGGAATTAAATTTCATTCATCCTTAAGAAAATTCACTCTGTGTGTGTGTGTATATATATATATATTATTAGCATAAATGAAAAGCATATAAAAAAATGTGAAATAATCATGCATAACTAGAAAATGCTTCTCAATTATTATGGCCTCTCTTGCTTTATCCCCTCGGCTCTCCCTCCTCCTTCCTTGCCCTCACTCACTCTCTCTCTCTCTCTCTCTAACATTTTTCGATTAGTAATCTTTCAAATTGAAGCAGAAAGATCCATTCTTTAAGTTATAAATAAAAAACCCAAGAAAAAGATTCAACTTTTTGGAGAAAGGGAATCGAAATGAAGAGGAAAGACAACCAGCAGGACACTTCCTCCGGAGGCGGCGGAGAAGCGGCGGATGGTGGGAGCTCATTAATGGCGGCGGTGAATAAGGGAAAGCTTCTGAGATCGGAGGACAAAGAGACCACCGGGGTCGACGAACTGCTCGTGGTGTTGGGTTACAAGGTTCGATCTTCCGCCATGGCTGACGTGGCCGAGAAGCTCGAGCAGCTCGAGATGGTTCTCGGTTCCGTACAAAACGACGGACTGTCGTACCTATCGAACGACACCGTTCACTACAACCCTTCCGATCTATCCGGTTGGGTCGACAGCATGCTCTCGGATCTCGACCCGACCCGGAACCAGTGTCGGGTCTACGAAGACCATTCCGAGTACGACCTCCGAGCCATCCCTGGCTCCGCCGCTTACCCGAAATCTCACCTGGAAGACGATGACACCCCCCGAAAACGGGTCAAACCCGGATCCGGAATCGGGTCGAATTCCGGGTCTGATCTCGCTGTAGAGACAGAGTCGACTCGATCTGTTGTGTTGCTTGATTCGCAGGAAACAGGGGTGCGTCTGGTGCACGCGCTCGTGGCGTGTGCGGAGGCCGTGCAACAGAACGACATGAAGCTCGCCGACGCGCTCGTGAAGCACGTGGGTCTACTCGCGGCGTCGCAGATCGGTGCCATGAGGAAAGTGGCTACGTACTTCGCCGAGGGCTTGGCGCGAAGGATCTACCGGATTTACCCACGTGACGGATCTCCGTCGTTCTCCGACACGCTCTACTTCCACTTCTACGAGTCGTGTCCGTATCTGAAATTCGCTCACTTCACCGCGAATCAGGCCATCCTCGAGCGGTTCGCGGCGGCGGAGAAAGTCCACGTCATCGATTTCGCCCTCAACATGGGCTTACAGTGGCCGGCTCTCATCCAAGCCATTGCCCTCCGACCGGGTGGGTCGCCGGCTTTCCGGTTAACCGGAATCGGACCGTCCGTAAACTCGCCGGAAAACGCCGACCCATTTCCTGAAATCGGGTGGAAACTCTCTCACCTTGCTCGGACCCTCGGTGTTGAATTCGAGTTCAAGAGTATTGCGGTGAATTGCTTGTCGGAGCTTGAACCGGCGATGCTAGAGACCCGACCTGGATCCGAATCGGTCGCGGTTAATTTGGTTTTCGAGCTTCACCGTGTCTTGGCCCGGCCCGGGTCAATCGAGAAGGTTTTCTCCACGATAAAATCGATTAAACCGGACATCATAACCGTGGTCGAGCAAGAAGCTAACCATAACGGCGCAGTTTTCCTCGACCGGTTCACCGAGTCGCTACATTACTACTCAAGTCTGTTTGACTCATTGGAGGGTCCACCGAGTCAGGACCGGGTCATGTCAGAGTTATTTCTTGGACGGCAGATACTGAACCTTGTGGCTTGTGAAGGACCGGACCGGGTCGAGCGGCACGAGACCCTTGCCCAGTGGCGAACCCGGTTCAATTCTGCCGGTTTCAAACCGGTTCACCTTGGTTCGAATGCATATAAACAAGCTAGCATGTTATTAGACCTTTTCTCCGGGGCTGATGGCTACAATGTGGAGGAGAACGACGGTTGTTTATTGCTCGGCTGGCAGACTCGGCCGCTCATCGCCACCTCAGCATGGCAGCTCGCGGCCGCCGAGTTGAGGCAGTGAGTCAACTCGGCATTGGACAATGGTTGCTAGACGATGCGAGCAAACATGTGCTCATATACTGCAGAATTCCTACGTTTGTTTTGAACTTTTACGAGATCAAAAACTTTATATTTATGATCTTTTATTATATTTATAATAAATGAAAATCAAATTTAAGCCACTCTTGCAGTAAAACCTGCAAAGCATACATAAATTTGATGCTGAATCAAGGTTTGATTTTGGTTTACAAAATGATTTTGGACCGGTTTTGGCCAAACCAATGCAAAATCGCATGATCCATTCCATTGATCATATCAGATCAATCGGGTTTGATTGATCCTGTCGTAAGACATTGTGTCGGTTAAAAGTCAGTTCACGTCTATTTGAAAACAACTTCCACGACTTTTATTTTGCAACAAAAATAATTAATATATTATAAAAGCATCTAATCTAATCTTTAGATAATAGTCTATGTATCTATCCATACAAATGATGAATATTTAGAATCATTATGTTAAATATATGTGTGACAAATAAAAAATATTGATTATTATAAGAAAATTGTCTTGATTACTGTATTTTAACATTCCACTTAAAATCGTTGTTTGGCACTAAAACTAAGTTTTTGCATTTACGTTTCCATATTTGAAAATAAAAAATGGAAATTAATAAAATATTCACAATCTATTATCTATCCTTAAATAAAAAATTATCATTTGCTTCTTAAAATTTCAATGTACTATAAAATTCAAAAAATTAAAGCAAAAAGGTAGTAATGTAACCAGAGGAAAAGGCTTCGAGGTCAATGGGCTTGAAGAAGAGGTACAGGTGGGACCTTTATGGATCAGACGGCTGAGATTTACCAATGGGATCATAATCGTACGGTCAAGATTAACCTTCAGGTGGGCTCCAATCGCTTCTCTACCGTTGATTCTCTCCCCACTTCCATATAAAAGAATCTCTCTGTCGGAATCTCCACTGAAACCCTCATCGTAAAAATAAATTTGAAAACTTTTTTTTGTATTTAATTATTGTTCAGAAAAGTGAAAGAATTTCTTGGAACTATATATATTCAAAGAAATGTACCAAAGTTATTAATATTTTATAACATATAAATGAATGTAAAATTAACCTTACAGGAATGAATTTTATCGGCAGTCAATTTAGGAAAATTAGGGTTTTTACAGTTTTCCATATATATATTTTTTATATTTTCGTTATATCGATCATCGTTCTTTTACCGGTTGATTTATTAAAATTAAAATTTTCTATTCTAGATTTATTTGAAATATTTTGCCCAAATTTTCAAATTTAAATGACCTGAAAATCATTTTTTCGTAAGTTCAAAATTTAGGAAATTTGTTTTAAACAGTTTCAATTTTTGTTTTGGAATTTTATGGCTAAAGTTTTTAAATTCCTAAATTTCTATATTGTTAATAAATCAGTTTTCTATCACAGTAACCGCATAAAATTTAGATTTCTTTTTCTCTAAAAAATGTAGAGAACCAAAATTTTAGAATAAAAGAGCTTTCATAGAAAAAAATTATAAGACACTTTTTTTTTACAAAATGTAATCATCCTTGCATTACACGAGAAAATTATGCACACGCATGTTCACGTAAGCTTATAATGATTTACACAAAAAAAACAAATAAATACATACATCTATGTTTATGGATATATATTGAATATATATGTATTCTATTTCTATATATCGTACAACAGATTGCATTTATATGATGATGATGATGATGATGATGATGATGATGATTATCCTCTATATATCGGAACCTTTTGTTTTTTTTTTCTTAAACAATGAGAATCACACATAGAATATGAAAATTCACTCGATATCATGCTTGTGCTTGGGTAGATTTGAATCGATTTGAATCGGAGTTTTAAGATCCGATTTAAATTTATTAATCGAAAGGAAAACTTTAATTCTAGTTGAAAAAGTTCTGATTAAGACAATGGAATTATGAGAAATAACCTAATTAACATCATTAATTATGATTAATTTAAAAAAAAAAATTGGAGCAAAGGAAGATAAAAACGAGTGGGTGCACGAATGTGTCGTGTCACGGTCAGAAGGCTGTCCTTCTCTGACTTGCAAAGCATAACCACCGAAAATGCACAGTCCAAGTCAGCAATGCCAATTCCGGTTATGATTACGTGTAGGGTTTAGGGTATAATCTAAAGAAAACACTCAAATATCGGATGAACATTTGACTTCAAAAATATGTAAAGAAATGCGATGGTAATTCATAAATAAATTTGATGGTAATTTTGTAAATAGATTTGATGGCGATTTTGTAAATAAATTTGATGTGAATTTTTTACATATTTATTCAAGACTAAAATATAGTTTAAAAGTAGGGTAGAGTTTCGGTTCGATTCTTTGAAATCGAACCATCCCGAATCGAAAATCTCGCTATTTTTTTTTCCGAATCGTACCATTCAAAATTCTTGAACGATATATTTTTTATAGAATCAAATTTCTCGAAACTAAACCGAACCGAACCGAACCGAACTTTTATAAAATTCTTGAAAAATAGAATTTTTTTAATACAAACCGAAATCGAACCGTACAGAAATCAGAACTGTACCAACCGAATAATATACGATACTAATTTGGTATAAATTTTAGAATACCAAATAAATTACTTCCGAACCGAATCACTAAAATTATAAAACGAATATCGAACGACCATTCTTATTTAAAAGTTATTATATATATATATATATGTGCGCGCGCAGTTTTTATGAGTATTTGAATTTTGAAAATATAAATATTAACCCGAATATGGGTTATTTTATCTTTCGAAGAATTTGCGATGACAAAGTCTCTTAGACCATCCTTTCCTTTTGATTTACAATATTTTCTTTACCACTAATCACAATCAAATTAATGTCCATTTTGATTAATTAAATCTCCACTACGTCCTTTAAAGTTACGTGTCTTTTCTAAGTTGTTTGATTGGAATGCGCACATTAATATTCATTAATAGATGTTGTTCTCTGTCCCCAATCTTCATTTTCCTTTTGATAAAATCAAATGCATTGGTGTTTTAAATAAAGGTTGTATTTACTTTAGTGTATGTATATATATATATATATATATAATTTTACGATTATTCAAAAGTATTACATATGAAATTAGATAAACTTATGGATCTAATAATTAGATAAATTTATCGATCTAATAATTAATATATCTATTTTTTCTGAACTATTAATTATTTAGAGATTTCATAATACACAAATAATTATAAAGATAAAGATTGCATCTCTAACCACTAAAAAAGTTTTGTCAAATATTTCATAAAACCAAAGTACCAACCACACGGAAGAAAACAAATATTTAAAAACGCCTGCATGAAGCGCTCAATGTCATGTGTCTAATCTTAAGACTAATTAAGAGACTAAGAAATTGATTGGTTAATTAAAGGGTGATTAACTCCTTAATTAAGGAGGTGGTGGTGTGTTTAACATGGAATTGTGCTCCATTTTGATGTTGACCTCACCGACCCACCAACAAATCGCATCAATCTTCTTATTCTTAATCTTTTATCATATGTTTTTTTATTTATTGTAGTGGATCTTGACCTCGATCCCTCACCGTAACCTCTCCGATCTACTCTCGTGTGAACAGAACGAAAGAACGCAAGAGACAACCGGGATACGAGTTCAGCAACCGAGATGAAATCTCGGTGCCTACGTCTCGGGAAGAGGAAGCCGCGTGTTTCTGCTAGGGTTACAACAAGGGGAACCACCGGACACCGCCGGAACGGCGCCGGAAACTGCGAGCAAAGCTCGCCGGACGAGAGAACGGCTCTCGGCCGAAAACCACACAAAAACCCGAAAATGTTCGAATCAACCACAACCCTAAAGGAGATTAGGGTTTCATTTACTACCCCGAGAAATGACCAAAATGCCCCTCCGTGCTTTGAGATCCTCTGCTTCATTCGGAGTCTTTGAAAACCTCTACACGACCCAGCGGGTTTCGCCTGAAGACTCCACAAATCTCCACCTTCTTCAGCAAAACCTGCGAAAGAAAACACGAAGCAAAGCAAACACAGTATATAACGCCAAACATGAACCCTAGCACGCTGTCGCTTCCCGTCTACTTCCATTTGTTAACTCTACCTCCCGACACATCCTAGGCGTATCAAACGTGCCATTCTAATAGAGTTCTTACCGAGCGTACCATAAGTACGTCTCAGCGTGATAAACAAATAAACACGCAAACCTAGTCTACCCAAAACGAGTGTCCCCGACACCTTCCGTTTTCCGAAGACTAGCTAAGACCTCGACTAGTTATGACTCTCTAGACCGTCTA